AACAAATTGATAAGTTAAAATCACTTATATGGCTTATATATTAGTGATATATAATTTTATATCACTAATATACTATCGTAAATCAACATAAACAGACAATCAAACATAAACTTATTTATAATTAATATACAGTCGTATATCAATGATGTAGTATCGCAGATTAGTAACACAAAAAACACATAGTCATTTTCTCAAAACAAATCAAATAAAATCTCAGGAAACCCTTGCTTGAACTCTGACTTTTATAACAGAGCCTGACCAAACTTCCTCACCCTAGATTTGCAGCTTTAGTGTAGCTTTATGTAGAAGCTGCAATTTCAAACTTCCTCACCTTGCATTTGTGATTTTTCAACCTGAATCTGTAGCTTCTAGTCTGCCTTGCCTTGCATTCTTATAGTCTTTAATGAATATCTAACTCCATTTATCCATCGGTGTGAGCTGTTTCGTTGTCTACTGTCAATTTCTTCATTGTTATGATCAAGAGTGTAGTGTCGTCTTCACATCTTCAAATGGGTAAAAACGAAACTAGTGTGAAAAGGAAAAATTAGGATATTATGGTGTTAAAGGGTAGTTTTATCTTTTGCATTAAAGGTAAATTAAAAAACGACCATTATCTTAATTTAAAAAAATGAGTTATTAATTTTATTTAATCATATAATGTTGGCTAAATTTGCTAAAACCCCATATCTTTAAGAGAGATAAAATAATATTAAAGGATTAATAATAGTGGGCAAACGTTATGGTATAACCTCACTTGTCTTAAAGCTTCACTAATTAAATCAATGTTTGTCCGTGTCTTTATCCTCTACTATGTCATGCGTCAAAAACAGAGAATGACCAACACAAAATGTCAACCATATTACACATTTCTTAAACCTTAAATTAAAATTTTTTTCATTTTTAAAACAGTTGAATTTTGTATTGAAAATTATAAGACACTTGATAAAAATTATTATAATATAAGTTTTAATATTTCTGTAAAAATTTTGACAAAACTCCCTATAAATAAGATTTCCTAAAAATTTTACAACGCAATATTTTATACAAAATATAATATTAATTAGGAGCTTAGCTCCTTTCAACCAACACACAACATATATCAAAATAGAAATCTAACTATAAGCTACGTGTAACACCTAATCTTACTTTCAAAATAAAATACGTGAGTTCAAATAATGACATCAAAAGGAGATAATGCTAGGCAAAATTCCATCTAGAACAAATGTATGCCCTTCAAAGATCAATAGTAGGATCAACGTTAGTTAATGAATTTGAGACTAAAATAAATTTTTCAGTAAATAGCATCCCAACAATAAATAATTAAATTTATATATGAAAAAATGTTAACATAATTATGTGTGCTAGAGATAACAATTTTTGCAAACAAATATTTAATAAATTTCAACATACAAGGACTCTATGTAACTTTAATTAAATTCTTGATTCATTAAAACATCGTATCAAACATCATTATCATATAATTTCAATAATATAAATAATTACATTAAATAATTATAAATGTATCACTAATCAAAACCAATGAAAAATAAATCCATCAAATAATTAAAAAGACTCATAATTATAAAGACTTATCAGAATAACAAACATAAACACATAGTTCACGAAAGTAAATAATCAAATGCGGCTTATACCTCAAAAATAAATATAAACAAAATCCACGAGAGTAAAAACCAAACACAACCTAAGCTACGAAACAAACATGGATACATAGTCCATGAGAATAATGCTAACCAAGCACAGCTAAAAGCCATGAAATCAATCACAGGTATTAAACCCACAAATAACAAACGTAAGAACAAGACTCATAAAATCCAAACTAACTAATCATTGACCAAGGCGCCAAGGGCTAACAAATCTGCTGTTAGCAACCAGTATTTTGTAATAAGTTTCTTTCAAACCAAATTTCAAATATTCAAGAAAATATTCACCATTGAAACAAAATTTTTCATTTTCAATGTCAGCTCACAGGAATCGTTCTTCATATCAATTCAATATTTTTCAAAATAAATCTCATAATTAGAATCCAAATTTATATTTACTAATTAACTAAAATTATCAGATCTAGTAAAGATAATTTCACAAAATAAAGTATTTTAATCAGTAAAATATCTAATAATCATATTGTTGTTGTAAAAAAGATTAACATAAAAATGTTATATTTTAATAAAGAAAATTTTATTGAATATCAGTTGACACGCTATTCACTTACCTGAGATACCCCTATAGTTTAAGAATTCCTCTTTCAACATCAATTAAATTTCTCCTCCTCCAAACACATTATAAATTAAGTTAAGATTTTATTTTTATTAAATCTACAACCAATATAGTAATTCCTTTTCAACCTTACTCACCACCAATATTAAATAATAATACATTTGAAACTTTGAAAAAATTCTCACTAGCATTTGACCAAGACACCAAACATAAATCATTTCCAAACTAATCATAAAAATGCTAGCATTCAATATTTCATCAACAACTATCCCTCTCCAAGAACTCAAAAATCACATTATTAATTTCATAGGCAAATAATTTTCTGCAACATCAGAATTAAAATTCATGCTTCTCATAAGAATTAATGAAACTCCAAAAATATTCAAAAATTAAGTTCAATTTCTTCTAACAAATACTTCAACAATCATCTTATAATTATCATTCCTCAAATTTCATATCTCATCTCTTCTAAGTTAATCCTAACCAAATTTCAATCAATTTAAATAAAATAAATTTAACTTAAAAATTAACCTATATGTATGTCATTATCAAGTTTTTAAGATAATTTCCAGCTCAATTTTGAATTTCCTCATCTCTACAACAGCATGGCAGCAGCGATACACACACGGAAATTTGTAACCTCACGCCCAACAACAGAATACACTCACAGAAGAACCAACAATGAAAAGGTTTGAATCTCCTCACCTCAACCCAGCAAAGCAGAAAAGAAAAAGAGCACGATGGGCAGACCCTGTGCAACCGAACTGAGAAGAGGAAAGGAAAAGAAAATCTACAGCACCAATAGGGGAAATCTGAACGTCTATCTTGGAAGAGCGAAAGAGAAGGAGATGAGGAATATTGACGGCAAAAGGAGATGAGGAACTCACGCTCAAATAACAGACGAAGCTTCGGATCTCCCCACCGCAGTGATCGACGGCAACACCAATCAGAAAAGAAACAGAACAGAAAAGGGTAAGAAGAACGCACAGAAGGAAGATTTCGATCTGTTCAGCTCTCCGATGACAGCAGCAAGATTTCGAGTGCGACAGAACAACCCCCTCAAGTAGCGATTTATGGCAACTCAAAGCTAGGAAGAGAGGAAAATTTCATGTTTCATCAACGGCCAGAACCTCTGCTCACGCAAGCTGGCGATGTCCTGAAATGGCGGAGGAAGAGAGGGAGGAGACGAAGGAACTGGTGAAAGTCCCAGAGCTTCCCTTCTCTGTTTCAGCATTTTTTTTTTTTTTTTTGAAAGAAAAGAATGAGGAGGGGAACATATCAGAATAAGGAAGAGGGGCATAATGGTAATTTTACCATAGTAATAAGAAAATAAAAATTCGCCACTTGCCTCCAGACGGTAACTGAGACCTGTCTAATAAAAGTCTAGCTCCGCTGTCATTAAACTAATTTTTCTTTTTATAATCTTGATTAAAAATTAATATAACTATCATTAAAATGTAAACTTATATATATATATATATATATATATTATTTTTTATTTTTTTAATTGTACTTATTACATACTCTCTACATTTAAAAATATAAAATATTTTTAATTAAATCTCACCCCTAAATAAAATAGTTATCTACTTTCAAACTAACTCCATTTTTCACATTTACTCCTATTAAACACCCTACAATAAATATAAAGTCATTATTAATAGGAGTACTTTTGAAAAAAAAAGTAATGATTACATCTTAAAAGATTAAAAATACCTTATATTTTTTAATATCTAACTCCTCAAAAAATACCTTACATTTTTTAATAAGGGAGTATAACAGAACTCCTTTACATTTGATGAAAAAATTAAGTTGAATGAAAGTTGTGTTTTAAAACACTGAATTAATTATAATTAAATTCACAATAAATTTTTCTAAAAAATTAAATTAAAAATATCAATTCAAATTATTATAAATTCAAAAGTTTTAACTGTAAATCAGTATTTAAATTTAAATATTAAATGTAATTTGTAGATTGTAACAAAAAATTTTATTTATAATTATTTAAATTAGCATTTACAATTCATTTTATAAAAAATTTTATCAAAAATCTAATTATTATTAATTCATTCTTTTAAAATCTAACTATTATACTCTCAAAAATTTATTTACATTTGCAGATCCTCCCCTTCTTTTGGACAAAGTGGAGAAGGCTTCGACCATCCTGAGATAAGGCCTAGAATAGAAAATTGCTTGATTTGATAAAAATATTTAGGATAAAAGTATATTTTTATTGTTAAAGTATTTTTTAAAAAATACTCAAAGTCTTAACATTTTTGTCAAAATAATTTTATCTTTAAAATTATTAAAATAAAATATTTTATTATTTTCATCAAATTTTTTAATAGTTAATATTTGAAGTCAACGTCAAAAATTTAATGAAATGAACAAAAATATTCTATTTTAATAATTTTAATAATAAAATTATTCTAAAAAATATTAAGATATTAGGTGTCCTTTACAAAATACTTTAAATATTTTAAAAATAAAAATATACATTTACCTAAATATTTAAACAAACTTTGTATCAAACAGATCCCTTGGAGTGAAAACAGGAATTATGAACTGAAGAACACAAGATTTTTTTTTTTTTAATAGAAAAAATGTGTACCTACGCGGAATTTTCGTGCTCCTTTCCTAGTTACATTGTTCAGGCATATTTCGTGGACGTCTCTGGGGCTACGCCAGTCAATCTATGGGTCGTCTTCTCTAATATTAAAAATTACAGGACACTCATTTGCTCGCCTGACACATTGTAGCTTAAAGTCCACGCTGCACTGAAACATACAGAAACTTGGCTCATCACCAATGGCGGATGTTTCGCTTATTTGGGGTTTACTGAAAGAAGCTCTGGCTGTTGTGGGAAAGGGTCTAGAATACAAGAGCACTCGCAAGAATCTCGAGTCAGCTGTGGAGGACTTGAGCCCGTTGGTTGAAAAGATCGAACATTCCATGAAGCAGATGGATCTGCCAACTAAACATATAGAGAAACTGAAAAGGATATTAGCAGACAACAAAGAGGCTCTTGGAAAGCACAAAATCCATTGGTGGAGTTGCGTCCTTGCGCCGTATTCTCAGAGAAAACTATCCGAAGGGTTCACTTCCCTGGAACGCAACATCTCTGTTGACATACAAATTCTCACGCTTCAGCAATTGACTGACATCCTCTCGATCCTGAGTTCTCAAGGTAGTGGCCTTGGAATCCCAACCAATTCAGCTCTGAACACACACAATGTCGGGACACAGATTTTCAAGGATCATCTTGATGAAAGATTATTCCCCCGATTTACTGTGGGATTGGATGGCCCTTCTATGGAAGAGTTGAAGGATAAGCTGCTTCATGGTGATGAGCGGGTTCTGAACTTGTATGGTTTACCAGGATCCGGGAAGACCACTATGGCGAAAAAACTCTGTCTTGATCTCCAAGTCGAAGGTAATCACATTTTATGCATTCACTTGCTTTCCCCTGTTTATCTCATGTTCTGTATTTGTGCCTTTTAGAACTCTGAAACTGGGACTTGACACGAACTAGTGTTGTTTTAAGAAGTAATATTGTCGTGTTCTTGGGTTTGGTAGGCAAAATTCAAGTCCAATATCATCTTTGAGCCGTTGGGTTCACAGATTCAAAGCAATGAGACAGAGATAATCAACAAGTTGCAGGATCAACTGTCCAAAAATGGCGGAAATCCAGTACTGTTGGTATTGGATGATGTTTGGCCTCGCTTAGAAAATATTGTTGATAAGATATATCTAAGATCACCATATTCTAGAATTTTGGTGACTTCTAGAGCTCAAATCAGATCAGTTAAAACCCGATACCCTATGGATTTGCTCAGCGAGAAAGATGCAGAAAAACTTCTCCGTCACTTAGTTCAATCGAGCAACATCGATTTTGATGAGCCAGCAAGACGTGAAATTCTTCTCCAGGTGACATGTATCACAATGAACTAGGGAGTTCTTAATAACCTTCACTTTTCTCTTCACAGAGAAGATCCAAAAATCTTAGAACTTTCACTAGATTAACTAATTGCATTTGGTTGGGTGAAATGCAGATAGCAAAAGGTTGTGAGGGCTTACCATTGGCTCTTGAATTCATCGGCGGCAAACTCCGAGGGAAGGACATTGAAGCGTTTCAGAAGGTGCAGTTAGAATGGTCGCGAGGTGGCTCAATTCTTGATTCAAATGCAGAGTTGCTTCGCCATCTCCAAAACACGTTGCATCTTTTGGTAGATGAATCCATCAAGGAGTGTTTTATGGACCTTGGTTTATTTCCTGAAGATCATAAAGTCCCCATTACTGCACTGATAGACATGTGGATTGAACTGTATGACCTAAATGAGCCAAGAAACATAGATGCAATATCTTCATCAAAGAATTAGTGGCCATGAATTTGGCCGCCGGAATCAAAATTAGAAGGTAAAAAAATGTTACCTCATTCTTTCTTTTCATAGATTTTAGATTGTCTAAGTGGTGGGTGGATTTGAGTTAATGTGGGAAGTTTCACATAAGATAAAAGTTTGACTTGATAGCTAATAAATAATAAAAGAAAAAAACTCATATAATTGAGCCTTGGTGTTCTGATTTAGAATATGGTGTCCACTGATTTTGTCTATTTATTATTCCTCTCTTGTTTCGGATGGTCACTCTTCACATAGTTTGAGTCCCAAAAAGGGAGTCTCCCTGTGAGGGGAAAATTGTTACTTGAACGATGTGGTGTCTTTTTGTTCCTCTTACCCATTTATTCTATTAATTAAAGGCTTCTCAATCCTCTTGTTTCATTTGGGTTTATAATCTTTTTAAGCAGGATGGTTGGAATGGAAGTGGACAATTACTACAATAACCACTTCCTCGTGCAGCATGATCTTTACAGAGAGCTAGCCATTGATTTGAGTGAACAAGAACCATTAGAGAATAGAAGGAGATTGATCATTGACATGAATGGGAATATCCCTCCACAATGGTGGCCTTATCCTGTCACTATCAACAGGTTCTATTTTTGTAATCTCCAGTTGATGCAAACCCACTCAATTAAAAGTTAAAATGACTTGGGAGAAAATTTTTACCGCATTAATTTCCACTCATCATCTTCCAAATTCGATGCAGATCAAAAGGTCACTCCAGGCTGGTGCAACATTCAAGGACCTAGAGCTGTGGTTCTGGTTTTGAATCTTAAGACTATAGAATACATTTTACCTGAATTCATCAAGGAAATGAAAAATCTTAAAGTTCTTATAGTCACCAATTATGGTTTCTGCACCACTGAGTTAAAGAACCTGGAACTGCTTGGTTCTTTGTTGAGCCTCAAGAGAATCAGATTGCAGCAAGTTTCAGTTCCATCTCTATGTGATCTGAAGAATGTGCACAAGCTGTCACTTTACATGTGTGAAGTTGAGAATGCTTTTGAGAACAGCTCCATTGACTTCTCAGAAGCAATGCCAAAACTGGAAGACTTGAGCATTGAGTATTGCAAAGATTTGGTGAAGTTGCCGACTGGGCTCTTCAATATTGCTGCTCTTAGGAACCTCACTATTAGCAACTGCCACAAATTTATCGGACTGCCAGAAGAAATTGAAAAGCTTGAGAAATTGAAATTACTGAGGATTAGTTACTGTGCTGATATTGAAGAAATGCCAAAGTCAATCACAAAGCTCAAGAGTCTAAGCTTTCTGGACATGTCATTCTGTGTAAGCCTTAAAAGATTACCGGAAGAAATTGGTGAGCTGCAGAATCTGAAAAAGCTTTATATGGCGGGCTGCCCTGTACTTGAATTGCCAAAATCAATCACGGATGTTGGGAAGTTAGAGAGTGTGATATGCGATGAGTATGCATATCCGTTGTGGGAAGTTATCAAATATCGCTTTTCTGGACTCAGCATAAAGACGGTCACCATGGAGATTAGCTTGAATTGGCTTTCCTGAATTTGGTTGTTTGTTTGCTTTCTTAGTTGTCGTTTGAATAAATGATATATTTGTGTCTACTGGAAGATATAATCTCCTCTTTTCCCCTATGAGAGAAAAGGGACGGTGGTGTACAGGAAGTTTTGAAAAAAGATGGAATGATGGTGTATTCATTAGGTAATTAATTTCTCTCCGAAAAAGTTTAGCTCCATTAATTTCAATAACAAATGGTTAAAACTTAATTTTAAATTCAATAATTTTTTGGTCGAAAATACACTTACTCTGTTCCCAAAAAAAAAAAGAATAAGAAAAAGAAAAAAGAAGCTATGCTTGCTAGTAAAAATCACACTTCCTACTCACTCACATACACCTAACTAGTGTGCGTATATTCCTTGATTAATATCAAAGATTAAAAAAAACTCAATTATTCTAAAAAGTTCAAATACAATTAATTATAATATAATAAAAAAGAAAGCTATGATTCTTCTTTTCACGGAAGCATGACTTTTCCGCCCTTTTGGGTCATTAAATATTGTTGCCTGGGGCATGCAGGAGCAGCCAAGAGCGAAGACTACAAGAGCATAAGCAACATAAAAAACACTGCATGATTTCACAAATTTCTAGACCTAGATTTCAGCTACCCTTCTGCAAGATCCATTTTCTTCAACTACAATTCAATTTGCTCGACCAACCCCCCTCCATCATGCTCTTCCTTCTCTTAAAACCAAAGGCTCTGTAGCTATAGCCCATTGAGATTACACAACTTGCAGAGATACACTGATTTGTTACCAATGGTGGATGCTGCTCTTCTTCTGGAGCTGGGCGAGATAGCCTCGAGAGTTGTGGAAAAAGGTCTCAAGTACAATAGCACCCGCGAAACCCTCAAGTCAACCACCAAGGATTTGGCTCCCGTGGTTCAGCAGATTGAACAGTCCATGAAGGAGATGGATCACCCAACTGAAGAAGTAGAGAAGCTCAAGGAGATGCTTGCAGCAAACCATGAGGTTCTTGGAAAGATTCAGATCCACTGGTGGAACTGCTGTCTTGCTCCATGCTTTCAAGGAAAACTCGATGAGGAGTACCAGTCACTGGTAAGGTACAGTTCAGTTCAGGTGCAGATTCACATGTTAAGAGATGTGAAGAAAATCCTGTCCAAGTTGAGTCCTCATGATGTTGATGACCAGAGGAGACAAGCCATCACAGCTCAAGATCAGACAAGAGATATGACCCCCACACCTACGTTCAAGGATGATGATGATGATGATGATCTTGAGATATTCCCAGAATTTACAGTGGGAATGGATGGCCCTTTCGTGAACGAGTTGAAGTACAAGTTGCTTAATGGCAATGAGCAGGTTCTGAACTTGTACGGTTTAACAGGATCGGGAAAGACCACCTTGGCTAAAAAACTTTGTCGTGATCCCCTGGTCAGAGGTAATCACTAATCAACAACCTTAAATTTACCACTCTAGGTATTTTTTTTGTCTTCGCTCCCTTCTAGATTTGTAATCTTGTAAACTTTGACCATAATTTTTGTGCAATTATTTGCCTTCTGTACTTATATTCTCTAAGGTCACACATTTTAATTTTAGAAAAATTTTAGTGAGACCCATTGATTAAATTTAATTTTAATTAGAACCTCTAAAATTATGACATTTTACAAATAAGTGAGGGACTAAAATGAAAGTGAAGAGTTTTTACTTATGTCAGTTTTTCATTTTTTATACATTAATTATTTATTTCTTTACACAAGTTGTTCATGCATTTATATTCATTAAGAATAATAAAATTATTTCAATCAACTTTTTAATTAACCATCCATGTTGGTTGTTAATTTTCTTACATTAATTGTTCATGTGTATAGTTTTATTACGGATAATAAGATCATTTTAGTTATTTCCTTAATTTTATTTCAATCCTTCACATATGTGATAAAATTTTAAAATTTTAAAAATTTTAACTGAAATTAAATTTGATCAAGAGATTTTCACTTAAATTTTCCCTTCAATTTTTCCACAGCGCCTTTTAACTGCGGCAGTCGTCCATATTAAATAAAATTGAAGTGACGTAAAAATGCATGTTCCCTATTTATGACAGGCGATTGAACTTTTCGGAAAGTACGCCAAGAGCATAAATGAATGTTCAAGTCTTTCTCCAAAAAATAAAAATTAATTGTCCATATTTCATATGAACAGAACAGGAACAAATTTTTCTATGCCAAAAATACATATGTGGGGAGAAAAGGGACTCACCGCACCGCCACAATTAATGTGTCCTGGTGCTAGTATAGCATTATAGGGATATGAGTGTTACATTAATATATTAAGATTATGATAATATATCCTTATATAGTATTGCTTTTGTTCGACTAGGTAAATTCAAGAACAATATCATTTTTGAGACCTCGCTGGACTCTCAAATTCAGGGCAATGAAGCAATGAACCAGTTGCAAAATCGACTGCTCGAAGTTGGGGAAAATCCAGTATTATTGGTGTTGGATGATGTTCGGTCATCATCACCTGTCTCAAAAAATGTTGCTGAGCAGTTTAAGGTTCGAATGTCATCAGGTTCTAAAATTTTGGTGACTTCCAGAAATCCAATAGACACACCTGCGATCTTATACCCCATGAATCCACTTAGTGCAGATGATGCCATAGCCCTCCTGCGTCACTTTGTTGAACCAAGTAATATCGATTTTACTGACAATAAAGTACGCGAAATTCTCCTACAGGTAATTGACATATACATTTTGTCTCTTCAATTGAAAAAAGATCATAACTTTCTGGTGATAATATTGGTTTTATTTTTTATTTTTTTTTTGTTGGGCTGAAACGCAGCTTGTTAAAGATTGTAAGCGATTACCGATGGCAATTGAATTCATTGGTCGAAAACTCCAAGAGAAGGGTGGTGTCGAGGATTTGCAGAAGTTGCAGATAGAATGGTCGCGATGTCACTCTATTCTTGATCCAAACAAAGATTTGCTCGCCCATCTCCAGAATTCCATGCATTTGTTGGTCGATGATTGTGTCACAGAGTGCTTCAAGGACCTCGGGTTATTTCCTGAAGATCAAAAAATCCCCGTCGCTGCCTTGATTGACATGTGGATTGAACTTTATAATCTCGATGAACTCGGTATATATGCCATGACCTTCATTCACAAATTGACAGCCCTAAATTTGGCTTCAGGCATCAAAGTCAAAAGGTACCTACATAATATATATATATATATATATATATATATTCATGTACAGCGATTTTACCTTTAATCTTCTTGCGTACGTTTTGGGTTTAACTACAAATTACAATCTTGGTTTAAGCAGCAGAATAGTTGGGAGGATCGAAGACAATTGCTACAACAACCACTTCCTCATTCAGCATGATCTTCTGAGAAAGCTAGCCATCCGTATGAGCAACGAAGAATTATACTTTGAGAATAGGAAAAGACTGATCATTGACATGAATGGGAATCGCCGTCCCGACTGGTGGCCACGTCAACAGAAGCAGTACAAGGTAGCTGCTCGTATACTCTCCATATCAACAGGTTTGTTTATCTCTTCTCTCATGATCTCTGATTGATGATGATCACCCAGCAGTAAATAAGAATAAGCGTTCATGGCTCGTCATTCATTTTCTTCCACATTTGATGCAGATCGAAACATCACTTCAGCATGGTGCAACTTTCATGCAGGTGATGCGGTGGTTCTGGTTCTGAATCTTAAAACTACAGAATTCACATTGCCGGAGTTCATTCAGAAAATGAGAAGCCTGAAAGTTATTGTTCTCGCCAACTATGGCTTCCATCCCGCTGAATTAAAAAACCCAGAGCTGCTTGGTTGTTTATGGAGCCTCAAAAGAATCAGATTGCAGCGAGTGTCAGTTCCTTATTTCCTTCGTGAACTGAAGAACGTGCGCAAGTTATCACTTCACATGTGTGAGGTGAAGGATGCTTTTGAAAACAGTTCAATGGAAGTCTCAGAAGCAATTCCAAATCTGGTGGACCTGAATATTGAAGATTGCAAAGATTTGGTGAGGTTGCCTGCTGGGCTCTGCGATATCGTCGCCATGAAGAAGCTCAGCATCAGTGGCTGTCCCAAGTTTAAAGAACTTCCCGAAGAAATTGGGAAGCTTGAGAATTTGGAGTTACTAAGGGTAAGTTACTGCACTGATTTCAACAAGATGCCGGAGTCCATTACGAAGCTGAAGAAGCTGAGACTTCTTGATATCTCAAACTGTGTGAGTCTGAGAAAATTACCAGACAACATCGGGGAGCTGAGGAATTTAAGGAAGCTTTACATGCTGCGTTGTCCAATCAGCGAATTGCCAGACTCAGTCAACGATATGGAGAATTTAGAGAATGTGACATGTTGTGAGTATACGTATCCTTTTTGGAAAGTTATCAAATCTAACTGTTCTGGACTACACCTCAATATGCCCATCGACGCTGTAGCTTAAATTGTCCAGAAGTTGTTGGGACTACTCTGTCGAAACGAAGCTTTTTCCTCGTCTCAGTTTGATTCTTTTCTTTGTTGTCTGAATAAATCATATCTCCTGTAAACTTGGACGAGACTGTTGGTCTAAAACTAACAAGATACATTACAACTTCACATGCTTTAGGAGATGTTTAGTGCATCAATATACTGTCGCTTTGATTTTGGTAATTTATGTGTTGTGTTAAATATGGACGGACTTAGATGTGTGCAAAGGTTAGTTCACCCTTCTCTCTCCCTTTTTTTTTAAAAAAAAAAATTGCCTTTATAATTCATTGAAATGTCAATGTCAATTTCCATATAAATAAAATGTAAATTATTAAATTAATTGCATAACAAATATACAAAATTAATAGTAAGTTATACTATTTCTTGTTTAAACTCTATAATGTGAAGACCCGTTTTTTGAAGAATTCAAATTCTTCTGTGTTTTCTTTTTTCTTCTAAAAATTCTTAATAATGTAATAAACTAAAGCGAAAAGATATTTAAAGATTAAATTAATGAAGAATGTTTCCTATAAAGTCCAAGAAATGTTGTAGTATAAATAATGTTATAAAACTTAAAATGACGCCGGATACATTATTATTTCCATAGCATAAAAGTAATTTTAAAATGTGAAATAATCCGCGTAACCATGTAAGCAAGAATATTAAAAGAAGCTCCTTTTTTTCTGTGGATAAAAATATTTGCTCTGTTAATTCCCACAAAGGACTATTTATTCTTCGGAATAGATTCTTTTGTTTTTAAAATTAGCTTTTGTTATCTTCGGCGCTTTTTCCTACGTTACTGGGACGAAGTTGAGCTTATGAAAGAATTTTGTCAAAAGTGTTGACAAATTGGACAATAAAAGTGATTCCATAGACGGTCTCGCCGGAATTCATAAACAAATATAATCGATTAAATAATTAATTAAAATTCTCAATACTTTACTTCAATTTGCTTCATATATGGGATAGTGAACCCATGAAAACATTAGTCTATGCCGGTTGAAAATCGAAGTTCTAAAACTTAGATCCTAAGTCTTTGACAAAATGCACAAGCTGATATTCATAAACATACGTGTGCCGTCAAATTTTATATTAAGAATGTTTAAAAAATAATCTACTTCATTAAAATAGTTTAGATTATTTAATTAAACACATCTTAAATTTTATATTATACTCTTAATATATTTTTTCAATGCTAAATGGGGACTTGTTTCTCTAATATTCCTTCTCTTTATTATTTTCATGTTTATACTTTCTCTCTCTCTTTTTGTAATATTTATACTATAATTTTCTGTCTTTTTTTATCACTTGTTTTCTTTCTTCTTCCTCTTTCGTTCTCTTTTTCATTTTTTATTGTTTTTCTTTCTCAGCTTTTTGTCCACTCTGATATGATCATATCAAGTTTTGGTATTAAATATATTTGAATATTGTTAATTTCACTAAAATAACTTAAATCACATTATTTGATATATCATAAGCTTTATATTATATATTTATAATCTATTTTTCATTATTCAAGTGACACCTCATTTTCTAATATTTATGATTTATGATTCTAAGCATTTTAAATGATTGTCTCTTATCCTACTCCTGAGGTCTTGAATATTTGTTGGAAGACCTAGGAGAAATGACAATTAGAAATTTTGTTAGAATATTAATCACAATTATAGATTTTAAATTATTGAAATCTCAATAAAAAATAAAAAAATTAATTATTTAATCTTTATAGTTTTGATTTAGTTATAATTCAATCCTTAAATTTTGATTCATTGTAACTTGATCCCTGAAGTTTTGACTTAGTTATAAATCACTCCATAAAGTTTGTCTTTTTGCAATTTAATCCATGAAGTTTCAACCTCTTAAATATTAATTCCTATATTTTAAAAAATAAAGGAACAATTTGCTCAATGGCCTCAAAAAATACAACTTCCATAAATTATGGAAGAAATTTTTGAATATTTTGAAATATGGCCCATTCAAAAATAAATTAGATGCATTTTTACTACATTGTCCTCAACTCTGTTCAGTCTTTTTTATTAAAAATAGGATATAATTGATGTTATTTTGATCTAATTTTCCTTGATTTTATTTTTCCATCCATACGGTTAACGTTTCTTATCGTACTACTTGCCTCTCTCTGTTTATCTTCTCTGTTTTTCCCAAATATTATCATCACATTAAACAGGAAACTGCATTATCGAATAGAAATTGTCTTGTATTCATTTATCTGGAGGTTATCGTACTACTTGCCTCTCTCTGTTTATCTTCTCTATTTTTCCCAAATATTATCATCACATTAAACAGGAAACTACATTATCGAATAGAAATTGTCTTGTATTCATTTATCTGGAGGTTGAAGAGAATCATCCATAATCGAATTTCCATCATCTTCATATATTCAGGTAATATATCCATTGAATCAGTAAATCATCTGTTCCTAATCTATTTTTTGTCATCATTGATGATGCAATTTGCTTGAATTTCGAACACAAAACATATTATTTTCTCACTGTTCATGATTTTTTATTTTTTATTGTGTATTTGATTTTCTATGATCAGCTAAGCCGTCCGTAATTTTTTTCGAACCTAGTTTGATCTGAGTTGGGTGAAGGAGTATGGCATTTTTGTGTTTCTGATTAACGTTAGTATATCATTGATATACTATAGTATCTCATTGATAAGTAATATCAGTTTTAACTTACCAACACTATGTCATCTTGTAGATATAGGGATGCTTAATCTGATAATTTCTTATGATGAAAAATGGGATTTGAACAACCGTTACGTTGATGGTTCATACTTGGAGGTGCTTGTGGAAGACCCAACTTCCTATCTTGATGTCATGGAAATTGTGTATAAGAAATTGCAATTGAATGCAAGTCATGAGGTCAAATTGATGGTCTTTTTTGATATTGGAACTTCAACATATAATATTTTAGAGGTGAAGAATGACAATGATTTGATATGGTATTTTAATTCGCTGAGAAATTCTAATCTCTTTAACTTCCTGTTGATTGTCTCTATTCTAATGGACCTTTTTCCATACAAGAAGTGTTTGAACCTTGCCATGAAGGAGATAGTTCATTAACTTCATGTTCTTCTACATTTTCCAATAACAAGAATTATAGCGAACCTGATGAACTTTTGCAAATAGATGATATTAAGGAGGGAGATGCATTCTTTAGCAAATTGAAAGTCCAAAAATGTAACAGTCACACCCCCCGAGCCCACTGCTTCGAGTGGTGAACTGGGCCGTGCCACCTCACGGCAACCACCAGCCGGCTTTCCTCCTGGTAGTTCAGGAGTTATTCCGCACCCACTGCGCTAAGGGAGCCTTCCCAGGTTCGATCCTCCAACCTCTCCTACATAGCGAAGTTGAGGCTGAACCTGGTACCATTGAGTCAACTGATACCAAATGTAACACTTGCCCCAAGTGTTATCCAAAAATCACACAATTCAAATAAACTAAGTGTGGTTAAGGAGTTAATCCTAAAACCAACTTAGGAAACAAACCATTTAAATCACTAAGCAAATATACGATTGCAAAGTAAACATTTAAAACCTTAAAAAAAATTATAGGTTCTAACTATAGCGCACGGAAGCAAGTTAGACGAAAGAGAAATAAAAAGATACTGTCATGACAGCATTTAAATTGCTGTCATGACAACCCTCCCGAGTCAACTTCTGGGAGGCGTCGTTCCACCATCCGTCCTCCGATCAAAGTGATTTTAAAGCACATCACATGTCACATTCAAAGGGTACTATAAGTATACCAAATTTCAAAAGATCCAACGGTCGGATTTAAAATTAAACATGTTAAAAATTTGATTATTTTTGCTGTCATGACAGCTAAAAAGCTGTCATGACAGCACTTCCGGACCAACTTTCGGAGTGCACCATTTCATCATCTGACCTCCGATCAGAGTGATTCCAAAGCCCACATGTCACTTTTAAAGAATACTATTAAATTTTGAAAAGATCCAACGGACGGATTGAATTTTGTGCAGGTTATAAAATCAATACTGTAGCTGTCATGACAGCAATTTAATGCTGTCATGACAGCACCTCCAGACCAAATTTCGGAGTGCGTCGTTTCTCCGTCCGATATCCGATCGACATGATTCCAAAGCCCACATGAAGCTTATAAAAGGTTTTACTTGTGACCCAAATTTTAGAGAAATCCAACGGTCGGATTAAAATTTGGACACCCGGATGCAAAAGTGCAGCTTTTTGGTAAAAACCATTTTCAAAATTATCCAAATCTCATCCTAATGGTCACAAACCTGTGGGAACACTTTGGACACGTCAAATAAGACTAAAAACACCTGAAAGAACATTCAAATGATGGAAAACCCCCATACATCAAAATTTGACCACCCGGGTGCCATTTTCCCAAAATGGACCCTAAACCCCCAAAATGCACAAATCATACAAGAGTGGTCACAAATCAATCTAAATACCATGCATTTATATAAATACATATGCTAAACATTTTTACTTGGCTCAGAGCTCCTTGTGGGGCCTACGCACCCACTCTCTCTATCCAAGCTATATGTTTGCCCATAGCACACCATTTGCAATGCAACCACTTTGCATTTGCTTATAAAATCACATATATATCAAAATAAAGATCTGCTTGTAATAGAAACTTGGTCTACTAAGTAAATCCATCAAAACCACACACCATAACCAAGTTTCCTAGCCACAAGTCTGCAAACAGACAAAAATTCATACACAAGCACACAATCCACACATATTCACACACACACACACATAATCATATCCTACTGGCACCCTAATCTTAAATACATTACAATATATTTGCTCAAAAGAAAGGGGTTGCAGTTCTTTACAAATCACAAGCAAACCCCTAGCTTTGCTCCTTTCCCGTCCACCACTGGATCCTTCGCCTGGACCTAGAATATTGAAAAGAAAGGGGTGAGACAACCACAGTCTCAGTAACAGCGAAATTTACATTGATTATTACAAAGTAAGCCATAATCAAATAAACGAATAATAAATTCAACATAGTATATAATTTAGCCATTTAAAATGCATGAATGCATGACCTAGGCCGGTATGGCCTTTCATGACCAACAGAATGTCCCCTGGCACTCTTTAACTCGCAGGTAAACCTTATACCTACTTGTACCTCCACAGGCACAAAACATAATCTAAGGCATGATCTAATCCACCGAACCGCCTATGCCCCTTCGACGTGAATCCTGAGCAGTCAAAGCTAACTCCCTCCCAGAGCCAACCCGACTTACTCTCCATGTGAGGGCTACCTTGGCCTAGGCACTCAACCTCATACTTCATATGTCGGATTCCCTCCCCCACTGAGAGGTGTCGAACACTCAATACACTAACCACTTTAGTGCACTGAGCCCACAATACGTAAGACAACACTGAGTACTGACAGTGTGCCATAGAATATCAAAAATCCACACCTTCTCATTGGTGAACTCCCACCGAGATCATGCCTTTTACTCTTGTCTACCTTTCCTGAGTATTGACCATTCAACACTCTAAAGTAGTATAATATTTAAATCTCATTTCCATAAAAACATTGTTATTAAACAATTAGAAAACATATTTGCACTATAATCAAAGTAGTACCCCATAACCCTTATAAAGCACATTTAATCTTTTAAAACATGTAATGCATGATAACTAGTAATATTTATTCAAAAATAGCTAAAACAAAGTAATAAGAAATATAAATTTCCCTGTTACCTCAACCCTTTGGTACCAAAAGGGTTCCCCTTGTACAAAATAGGGCTCAGCTTGTTCCTTACTTCTCAATAAGTTCCACCAACAATTTTCTACAACATATAAGTGATCCACATCACTTATCATGACAAATAGCATTAATGAAGACTATAACTTATACCACACAACTTGGGTCTATGAGTCATAATCCACCCTAATGGTCCATATTAAACCAACCATTCACATAGTATCACTTAACCACCAAACCATTTATTAGCCATCACTAGGCTAATTTTCAATTTATATAATTTTTTAATCAATTAAAAACCTTCACTTAGTGTCACCAACTTTCACCATTAGCCCTTATAATGAAAACCAAACCTTAATTTAAATCTTATTGGGCTCAAATAGCAAAATTATAACTAAATCAATAAGCTTAAACCATTGAAGAGCAAAAACCCAATTTCTCAAGGTTTATTTTGTGCCCAAAACACCTCTTTTCATCCAATTATCCACTCAAAACATTAGATCACTATATAGAAACTCAAAACATGCTCCCTAGGATTCCAAAGAATAAAAGCTTACAAGAATAAAGCCTTTGGGATCAAAATCTAAAAATCTCCTCTTCCAAAAATTGAAGAAAATCAAGAGAAAGAGAAGAGGATTGAAGTAGGGAGTTTTACCTATCGTGTAGCCGAGCTCGCAACGGTCGCAAAGACTCCTAGATCCGAGCCTAACTCCCTCCCTTTCTCTTCTCTTCTTCTCTCTCTCCTCTCATACTTTCCTTTCCTTTCCTTTCCAATTCAATTTCCTTCGTTTTCTGCTTTCTGCATCAATTTTGGTCTTTAAATTTGGTCAAAAGTTTGGGAAAATTACAAGAAAGGGCCCAACATTTTTTATTATTGCACAAAAGCCCGGGTCAACTTTGGTAATTTTTCCCATAGTTAAAAATCAAATAAAACCAAACTTTTGCTTAGTAAAATTCAAACTCTGCAAACTCTGGGCCTCTATAAATTATTCTAATTTTAATTTAATTATAGATATTTTATTTTATTTTATCTTAAATCCGAGTCTTAAAATTTCGGGATGTTACAAAAAAGTTCTGCAATTGTTAGCTATGAAGAGGAATTTTGAATACAAAAACTCTGAAATCAAATGGTCAAAGGCTTGTTGTTGCTTGTAGTGTTGATGGTTGTAAGTGGTACGTACGGGCTTAACAATTTCTTCTACTCAGGTTTGGGTCATTAGACAGTATGTAAAGGACCATACTTGTGCTGATGACGTTGTGCGTGGTGACTATAGGCAAGCAATAAGCCTTATCATTAGTGAATGTGTGAAGCAAAAAGTTATTGATGCAATGACCCAAAATCAATAATTAAGCACATGCGTAAGGAATTTGGAGTTGGTGTTAGTTATTACAAGTCATAGAGAGCAAAGAACTTGTTTTGGAAGCAATTCAAGGTTGTCCAGAGGACTCTTATGCCCAATTACCTTCCTTGTGCTATGCTTTAAGTCACACAAATCCTGGTATATATTTATCATGGATATACATTTGTTTACTAATGATATATTCAGGCAGTAACTAAATTAGATATATTGTGTTATTTAGACAGTAATTATGTTTTGTATCCTACTTTGTTGTCTGATTATTAACAATATGACACAAGTACTGTTACTGATATTGAAGATGGCAGTAATGGTCAATTTAAGTATTTCTTTGTATCATTTGCTGCTTTTATTGAGAGATAAAGCCATTGTCGACCAATTATATCCATTGACGGAACTTTTTTAAGGAACGAATATGCGGGGACTCTTCTAATTACATGAACTATGGATGGAAATAATTCAATATTTCCATTAGCATTTGCAGTTGTTGACTCAGAGACTGATGCTCCTTGGAATGGTTTCTATATAAGTTGAGAGTGCATTATGCTATCGTCAAGACCTAGTCTTTGTTTCAGACAGGAAAAGTAGTATCCCAAAGGCTGTGTGTAATGTATTTTTCGATACTACCCATTGTATTTGTGTACAACATTTGTTGGGTAATATAAGAACAAATTTCAAACACCCTTCAGTTGTCGGTATCTTCAATCATTGTGCTAAGGTATAAAAGTTTTCTGATTTTGAACGTGAGATGAAGAAATTAGATCAAGTGGCACCTGACATTCGTGATTACCTTCTAGATGTGGGTTATGAAAAGTGGTCACGTTGTTATTCTATGAGGAGTCGGTATGATATTATGACTTCTAATATATCAAAAAGCATGAACTCTACTCTAGATGATGCAAGGGATCTACTGATTATACCATTGATTGAGTTTATTAGGAACAAGCTCCAGGATTGGTTTTATACACGAAGGATGCATGCTAATTCTATATCTTCTCATCTAACACCATGGGCTAAAAAACAGTTGTCCGAGCAAATAGAACTTTGTAGACACATGGAGGTAACAACTGAACCTATCTTATTTGATATACTATTGTATATCATTGATATATTGACGTTAAAACTTATCATTGTTACATTGTATTGCATTTTTATTGTAGGTTCAACCAAATGATGTAAATGAGTTCACTGTAGTGCATGGCAAATCTAGTTTTATTATTTACTTGGAGACTAGAAGTTGTAGTTGTAGGAAGTGGGATTTTGAAGAAATTCCTTGCTCTCATGCTTGTGCAGTGATTAGCAAGCAACGACTTTATGCATATACTTTTATTTCTAGATACTACACAAAGTATTCATATGGTTGCACATATGGGGCAACAATTCATTCATTAGGCAATCAATGTGATTAGGCAATTCCTAGTGAAGTGCTTGAAAACAATCTAATGCCACCAAGACAAGAAAGGTACCGGTAGGCCTAAGAAGACATAAATTCCATCGGTTGGTGAGTTTAAGAGAACTATTAGGTGCAGTCATTGCGGGCAATTTGAACATAACAAAGAGCTACTTGCAAGAACCATATACCTATTGGATTTAGCATCCCAAAGAAGCAAAAGACCATAGTTGAATCTACTAGTCAAATTTAAATTTTTTTTTAGACATTTCAAATTTATTTCAATCTTTCCATAAGTGAAACTTAATGAATTTGAATTTGTTTTTGATTATTCATATGTTTTTGCGTCATATGACATTGCTGATGAACAGTGATTTTTTTGTTGTACACATATAGCCATAATATTTTTTCTTTTAATCTTTTGTAAACTATCTTTGGAGATAGTTTAAAAAATTATAAGAATTAAAGGGAAGCATTTTAGTTCCTGTTTATCAGAATAAAAGCAATTTTCAAAATTGTGCATAGAAGCCTTTGAGAGGTACGTGGTAGCACATGCGAATATGGTAGCATGTATGCAATATGCAACTTAAAACGCCCAACAGAGAAAACAAAAGAATAATCAATATAGAAGTAACCATAAACGATTCATATTTTATCACCTTGAAATAAAAGTCTGTTTTCTTTAGTCAGTTCAACTAGATATATATCAACAATAAACAGAAATATGTTAGTGATAAAGAGCGCAATTCATATTGATCATCTACTAAAGGAAACAAAAGACTAAAATTAACTGAAATACAAAAGGCTAAAGGTGCGTCAACTTCATTAGTCCTTCAACTTTTCTATAGTTGGTTGAGTTAGTAACTCATAACTAGAATCGTCATATTGATCATTCTCTTTTTGGTCCTTTTTTTGAGCTTTACCCTCATCTGTTGATTCGTAATTTATGGTGAAAGGAGACTGAAGTGTAGCAGGTGTCTTTGTTGACCTCTTAGGCCTTTTAACTTTCATCCTATTAGCAATTTTCTTGATTTGTATCCTTTTTTGTTGGTCCTTTAGAGGTTCAACCATTTTATCGGCCTAGAAAAACAAAGAATAAAGAGTCAATAGAAAATGTATGCTATAAAAGTATACTGAAACAATACAGCACTGGTCCTTTGTTGTAATGTATGTCATTCATATTCAGCCCTATGAACTATAACAATCAAAATATGACTAAATATATCATTGATATCCAACAGTACAGCATTGATATACATTACTATGATGTACTTTTCCTATATAATCTTCAACAATGAATATGAATCACATTATCAATAAATGATATTTTAATTTAGTTTCCCATATGAAGTATAATTTGTACTTGCTTCTTTTTCTCAAATTGCTTATTGGTATTTGTTGATTCATTCAGGTGGTAGCCTTCTTGTTCATTACCCCTTTCAACATTTGAAGGCATCACTGACATTGGTCCCTAATCAAGTCAAAAGCAATATGAAAAATTAAAACAAGTAACAGTTTAATATAGGTGGAATTATAACATTTCAGCCACATGAACTATAATAATCAAACATATGACTAATATATCATTGATATTCAACAGTATAGTACTGATATACATTACTATGATGTGCTTTTTTCATATAATCTTCAACAATGAATATGAATCACATCGTCAACAAATGATAATTAGATTTAGTTTCCCATATGAAGTTAATTTGTACCTACTTCTTTTCCTGCAATTTCTGACTGGTATTTGTTGATTCATTCGGGTGGCAGCCTTCTTGTTCGTTACCCCTCTCAACATTTAAAGGCATCACTGACATTGGTCCTTAATCAAGTCAAAAGAAATATGAAAAAAATTAAAACAAGTAACAATTTAATATAGGTGAAATTATAACATCCAATTATAGGAAACAAAGTAAATCTTAACTCACTTGGTTGTTTTCCTCTTTTTCATGAAGATTATACTCACTCATGACAACCTCAGCATTGATAGAGTGGAAGATATTATCAACATTATTAACACTCTTATCTTTGTCCCCGCTATTTTCTTGTTGTTTGACAAGGATGTTAAAAAAATTTTCTATAATTGATCGCATCTCTATTTGACTTTTTGCGATCTCAATTTGTCTTTCTTCAATCTGTAGCTATTACTTCTCAACTATCTCAAGCTTTTGGTATATTCTCTTACTTTCTGATCTAGAAAGTGAGCCTTGCATGCTTGTTTCTGGGTCATCATTATCAATATCTTCAACACTTAGAGGTGACACAGTAGATGTTCCTACTACAGCTTGAGTCGCACTCTTCTCTCCTACAAAAATGTGCATATAATCCTTTTCCCCATTCTTGATTTGTGATGACCAACTGTTGTATTTTCAACTGTAAGATCCAAAATAAAATGATACATGATGAGTTACAGCTGCTAATTAATGTCAGATGCAAGTAATAGCTAGCAATTTTCCAATATATATTAGATATAAAAAAATCATATATCACTGATATATATGTATATAACACTGATATACCATTATATAGCACTGTTATACAAGACAGTGAACTTTACATTTTTCATTTTCCAAAAATGCATATCTATTACACCCATTTGTATATGATTGACATATAGTTACAGAAACTATTAAATATTAAATGATTTACAAAAAGTAAACATGATCACGTTCTTTGCATCCTTTGCATTGAACATACTTAAATATAAGGTAAATATAAAATTATGAACATACTTACATTCTTTGCATCGATCACGTTCTTTTCAAATTGTGACCACTCATAATAATCATTCGTTGTCCAGTTCAATATCCTTGGGAGTGCGTCTCCTACTTTTTCAGCATATTTATGCTTTTTCAATGCCGGTATCATTTCATATGCCCAAGCAACAATGGCATATGGGAATCCTCCAATCCAATAATTGACACCAAATTTTTAATTGCATCCTTGAAGGATTCCACAGTCATGTTGTAACACACCCTTCCCTATGGATATGTTTCAAACAAGTTATCATCTTCAAGCAACTTGTAAAACTTGTGATCAATGGCATTATGATCTTGCTTTGACAAGAACATGTTCTCTAAACAATTAATTTTTGCTAATTTGACAAAATAAGCATCATTGTTTGGGATGTTACCTCTAAAGATAGAAAAGACGTCCTTTCTTTTAGGCAACGTGTTCTTGACTTGAAAGAATTTGTCTATGAAGGCTAGGATGGGTTTTTTACTAAAATCCATAGCAAGTAAAGGATTACAATTTAGGCCAGTAACAATTGCAAACTCCTTTAATCCAAAGGTTAGTACTTTTCCTACAATCAAAAAGTATAACTTGTCATCCCTTTCACCAGGGCATTGGCTTCGAACCAACCAATGCACTAATTGCCCTAGAAAAGCACGCATTTTTATGTCTAGTAGGTATCCTAGACATCCTTCTTTGAATGTTTCAAGTTGCTCCTCATTTAGTTTTTGGTTTATTATTTCAACAACTTCAATCTTGCTGCCATGCAAAATTCTGTGGTGAGGATTCCAGAGTTCCCTATAGACTATATATTCTCTTGTGCTTCTTTCGTCTTGACTTATATTCTCTATTGCCTCTTTGTCTTTCCTACGAACAGCCTTGAAGTTGTTGCCCCTGATATTTTAGAAAAGTGTTAATATATTTAAGTACTAGCATTAGTGAATCAAATACACTTCACAATGGTATGTCTTTGATATAGGTACATATATCATTGGTGTGATAATGGTATATCATTGATATATATATTTCTTAAACAGAATTGTAGTAAGGAGGATTATTTGATTAGATTAAAAAGAACAAAACTGAAAGAAGAAAAAGGATGTCACAGGGAAGATGTACTTTATAAATTATAACTAAAGAAACATAAGCTCTATCTACTCTTTTAATCTTAACACAGATATCTTTAAAATGGGAAAAAGAAAAAGGAAACTTACCAACTCTTATGCAAGCTTATTTAATAAATGGTTTAACATAATTCAATTTAATAGGAAAATAACTATCTCAACCATGCAACGAAATAATAAGGAGCAACAAAGGATGGTTAAATTGGTCCAGAAATTCCTAGCCCAACTCACAAGTGGTGTTAAACAAGAAGGCTGGTTTAACTTAGATGAAAAATGCCACTGGCTCAATTTAATTAACTTAGAGGAAAAATGCCATTGCCTGATGGAAAAATGCCATTATGTAAAGACCGCATGTTTTGGTGACATACTTTAAAACCAAATAAAATCCCTTGTAAAGTTCAAGAAAGACCCAAGAAAGACCACACAACAACCAGCCAGTTAGCTTGTTAGATCGATTTAAATATGTATTTTAGAAATTAATTACCCTATTGTTGAAATGCGAGTAAATCAAAAGGCTAAGGCATACCTAGTAATACAGAACACCTTCAATTCTAGGTAAGAGAACAGTAAGTTAACACCCTAGTATATCTCTAACGGTTTGATATAATACTACCGAATAAGCGAGAGCCTAATGTAGTCCTTCAAGCCCAACAATTCATGAGCCCAAGTTGAAATTATTAACGACAAGACACAAGCCTCACTAACAAGCAATTAAATAATGCCGATTTTATGATTAATTAAATGCAAGAAACAAGGTTTGAACTGCTAACTTAGCCATAGCCTAACCTCATTCAAGTGTAAGCCTGTACATATATACAAGAGTTGCAACTAACGATAGTTAAGCTAATAGCTCTTCTAACTGAATAAGTTAAACTAACCCAACTAGATAACATTTAATAATGTCTGTTACCCCTGCAGGCCGGTGCATGGATATCATGCAAACCCAGCTTGGAAATAGCAATAAGAAAGTAAGAAGGATGGAAGGCTTTGTTAAAAACATCAGCAAGTTGATTGCAAGTATGGATGGGGAGCAAATAAAGAACTTTAGCTTGAAGGTTCTCAAGAACAATATGACAATCTATGTCGATGTGCTTAATACACTCATGGAAAGTGGGATTGGATGCAATCTGGAGAGTAGATTGATTATCATAATAGAGTAAAGTTGGCCAAAGGTGAGGAATATACAGGTCAACAAGTAAATACAGTAACCACTGAATCTTGTGACACCCTCGATTTTTAAATCAATTTTTCTTCAACAACAAGGTAACTAATTTCCAAAATGCCATTATGTAGGGACCGGTAAGCAGATTTATCGACAAAGACCCAAGAAAGACCTCACAACAACCGGCCAGTTAGCTTCTTAGATCGGTTTGATTTGATAGAATATATTAGTGATATAGAGAAAAAACCTGCTGAAGTGGGACAATTCTTCCTCTTTGGCAGCATTGACAAAAGACCTGAAACCCTCACTTGAACTCTACCTTCAGTAACAGAGTATGACCCACAACCTACCCTCAATCTGTAGGTTTAGCGTGGCTTTGTATAGAAGATGCAGTTTGGACTTCCTCACCTCACATTCAAAATTTTTGACCTTGAATCTGTAGCAGCAATTCTGCTTGCCTCACGTTTGTCTTTGTTAGTAGATGAATATGCAGAGCTTTGGTTTGCCTCTTCTCGCGTTCGTATGGTCTTCTTTTCCAAAACTATAAGTCAGTTTATTGTCTGGCGTGAGCTTCTTTAGTGGTTGCTGTCAGGTTCTTCGGCATCTGACCGAGAGCGCATCATCGTCTTTCATGTGGGGTAAAGTGAGTGAAAGCAAGTGTGGGCCAAATGTCTAGATCTTCAGTTTGAAAAAGGGAATCAGGGTTGTGGGGTTTTTTTTTACCGAAGGCATTGGGGTAATTTTGTCTTTTGTATCAGAGGAAAATTAAGAAAAGGCCATCCACTTAATTTATAAAAAGGTGGGTTATTAATTTTATTTAGTCATGTAAGGTTGGCCAAATTTGCTAAAGCCCCAAAAATAAAATTATAAAGATTAAAAATACTTTAAAATTTATTATTAATATTTTAAATTATTAAACCCTTTTAATCTTTATAAATACTATAAATTTTAAAATTTTAAAATATTTTTAATCTTTATAATTTTATTTTTTTAAAATATAGGGATTAATATTTAAGAGGTTGAAACTTCAGGGATTAAATTACAAGAAGAAAACTTTAGGGGCTAATTTATAATTGAGTCAAAACTTCAAGAACTGAGATATAATGAGTCAAGGTTGAGATATTGAATTACAATTAGGTCAAAACTATAAGAGCCAAATGATTAATTTTTTTCAAAAAAAATATGATCCTTACTTGCAATTAAAAAAATATGAATAATTAGTTGAAAAATCTATTAACTACAGTTAAGACTATTTGTAACATCAATTAAAAATTTATAAAAGTTAGTTGATAATTTTAATTTTTTGCTGTTAATATACAAATAAACCACTTGAAAAATTAAGTATATTTGAAATTATTTATAATATTAGTTAGAAATTTACAAGAGTTAATTGTGAAGTGCAAATTAATTACTTATGATTTTTTGATTTCAATATATAGATAAATTATTTAAAAAATTTACTAAATATACTTTGAATTATTTATAACGTTAGTTGAAAATTTATAAAAATTAATTATAAATTGCAAGTCACTTACTAATGATTTTATTGCTATTATTTGAAAAATCAACAAAAGATAGTTGGAAACCTTTGCAACATTAATTAGAAATGTACTAAAGATTGTTATGAATTTCAAATCAATCAACAAAAAGTAGAGGAAATTAGTTCAATAGCCTTAGAAAATATAGCTCTAATAAATTATGGATGATATTTTTGAATATTTTAAAATATGACCCATTTATAAATTAATTAGATATATTTTATTTTTTATCTTCAAATTAAATTTATTATTAAAACATAATATATTTATTGTAACTAATCTATAACTGACTAAATCTTTCATTTTTTTCTTTGAATCATTTCTTTTTTTTTCTTTAGATATAAAATTGTCTCCTTTCTTCATCGCAAAGCTTTTCTTTTCTCTCCCTCTCTGTTTTTCCCAAGAACATTATAAAGAGGACATTAAGCATTGAAGATGAATCTTCATTTCTAGAAGTAGAAGATTAGGTTGAAATCTATTATCTGTTATTTGATTTTCACCATCCTCATCTCTCTCAGTAACATCAAATTTTTTGCAGTTTGTGTTTGATCCATTTTAGGCAAATGATTATGTATATATATCAATAATAAACAAGTTTATGTTTGATTGTCTAGTTATATTGATCTGCGATAATATATCAGTGATATACAATAGTATATCAATGATGTAGTATTGCGAATCATTAACACAAAAAATACACAATCATTTGTCCAAAATGGATTAAATACAATTCACGAATATTTTTGGTCTCTTAGTTTAACTAAGAGAGTCAAATACCTAAACTAATAAAATAAAAAATCATAAATCTGTAGCTCCATTTCCTTACTGACGTACTCTGTTTCGTCGTGTATCTCACCTTGCATTTGTCTCTCGCGATTGTAACTATGGCTCTCTCACATTGCTTTGCTATCTCGCGTTCGTCTCTTTGTGTCCAATTCTGTCTTCTCTCTTGCATTCATCTCTCTCATTTTAGAAATTTCTTACATTTTGAATCTTTTAATATTTGCAAAAAGTAAATATTAAAAGAGCAATTTTGTAAATTAATTATAAATTAAATATTAAAAAAATTTAAAATTTAAAAAATAATAAGCTATTTTTTTATTTGATCTTATAAATAAGTTATATATACAAATGACCCTTAAAAAATAATATATATTATAAGTAAAGATCGGAATCTATTATTAGAATTTAATAATTTCAGTTATGTTGTTGTCATTAATATTCCTATAGCTCCCTAATTGCCATATTGGGTTTTATTTTATAATATAAAACCTTTTTTATAAATAATTTTAGCTTATCTATATATATATATATATATATATATATATATATATATCTTTCTATTCTTTGGCTGTTTGGTTGATTTCTTGTACGAGAAGCATGGACTGGAGACTGGAGAAAGAGCTGTGGAACTTGGGGGGCGAAAACTGGGAACTTAGACGGAATTTTCGAGCTCTTCCACACCCATTTAGGACTGGGACCTTATCTCCATCAACTCCACTCCATGATCTTCGTTCTCGAATTACAGTGTTTACATCAAGATGGCAACTTTGAGAATTTTGGCCTCCGGCTTTTTCTGGTGCTGAAACCAAGCTAGCTATCAATGGCAGATCCTTCGATTCTTCTGGAGTTGGGCGACAAGCTTTTAAAAGTTGCTGAAAGAGGTCTAACATACAAAAGCACTCGAGAAATCCTCAAGTCGACCATCGAGGATTTGGGTCCATTGGTTGAGCAGATTGGGCAATGCGTCAATCAGAATGATCTTCAAAGTGAAGAAATAGAGAAGCTGAAGAAGATAATAGAAGCAAACAAGGAAGTTCTTGACAAGTACAAAATCCGTAGGTGGAAGTTCTTTGTTGCCCCATATTTTCAGAAGAAGCTCGATGAAGAGTACCAGTCCCTTCGACGGTACTGCTCGGTTCAGATGCAAATGCAGATAGCAAGGGATTTGAATAAAATCCTATCCAAGTTGAGTTCTGATGATAATAGCCTCAGGAACCAAAGCTTCTCACCTCAAGGTTCTAAAAGAATCAGAACACAAACTTTCAAGGGTAATCTTGAAATATTCCCAGAATTTACAGTGGGATTAGATGGTCCATTCATGAAGGAGTTGAAGTCTAAGTTGCTTCATGGGGATGAGCAGGTCTTGAATTTGTATGGTCTAGCGGGATCCGGAAAGAGCACTTTGGCAAAGAAACTCTGTCATGATCCCCAAGTCAAAGGTAATCGCATTTCTTGCCACTTTTATTTTTCTTTTTTTTCTTATGTGCTAAGATTTCTGATGTCCCTATCAAATTTATCATCAGTCATCTTATCAATTTTATGCACACTGACTTGCCAAGAATGCGTATGTATGAAAAGGATTGAGTTGTTAGCCAAAAAGACATGCTCGAAGTTTTTGTAGCACCATCCTATATTATATTTATTAGAATATCATTCATTTCTTTGGTTTGACTAGATAAATTCAAGAACAACATCTTCTTTGAGACCTTGGGTTCACAAATTCAAAGCAATGAAGCAATGAACGAATTGCAAGACCGACTGCCTGAGTTCGGGGCCAATCCAGTATTGTTGGTTCTGGATGATGTTTGGCCTGCCTCCAAAAATGTTGTGGAGGAGTTTAGGGTCCAAATGTCAGCAGGCTCTAAAATTTTTGTGACTTCAAGAGTTCCGATTGCCACACTTGGCACTCCATACCCCATGGAACAGCTTTCTGAAAATGATGCAGTAGCTCTATTCCTTCACTTTGTTCAGCCAAGCAACATCGATTTTGGTGACAAAGAAATGCAAAAAATTCTCCTGCAGGTGACATATAGATTCATTTCTTTGTTCAAATAATTTAAGACATGATTAGTCAGAACTCTATTTCCTCCTCTCATAGTTTCAGAGTAGTTAATTATCTGCGCTGGCATTTTAGATATGGTATATAAAATGGAAAACAAAAAATGATAGTAGTATTCTATGGAGGACGTATTCTGACACACAAAGGAAACAAGGTCATAACCTTAATTAGAGTCGCTGATTTTATTTGGCTGACTGAAATGCAGATAGTTAAAGGTTGTAAGCGTCTGCCACTTGCTCTTGAATTCATTGGTCGTGAACTACAAGATAATGGTATTGAGATGTTGCAAAAGGTGCAGCTAGAATGGTCACGTGGTCAGTCTATTCTTGATTGGAACCTGAAGATCAAAGGATACCTGTTTCAGCTTTGATTGACATCTGGACAGAACTTTATAACCTTGACGAACTTGGCATATATGCAATGATCTTCATCCGCAAATTAACAGCCTTGAATTTAGCTGCTGGCATCAAAGTTAGAAGGTATATATGTCTATACTGCATTCTTAAATTTTCTTGTGCCAATTTGAATCCAATTATAATCATGGTCCCACTTTGGCTGTAAAGTTGAGGACAAATTCATGCACAGGCTTTTAATCTTCTTACATTTGGTTTTTCAATCCTGTTTGAGCAGGATAGTCGGAAGAATTGAAGACAATTACTACAACAACCACTTCCTCATGCAACATGATCTTTTCCGAGAGCTTGCTATACATATAAGCAACCAAGAACCATTTGAGAATAGGAAAAGATTGATCATTGACGTGAATGGGAATCACCGTCCAGAATGGTGGCCACAGCAGCAACAGCAGCAAAGCATCATCACCCACACCTTATTCTATATCACCAAATGGTTTAAAGACCCAAATCAGAAAAGGGTATCTGCTCTTATACTGTCAATATCAACAGGTTTGCTTACCTCTTTTGATCTTGAATCGGTGCACACCTAGGAACTAAGAAGAAAACATTCAGGGCTTTTTCATTCATCCTGTTTCACATTTGATGCAGATCAAAACATCAATCCAGATTGGTGCAACATTCAAGCAGATGATGCTATTGTTATGGTTTTAAATCTAAAGACTACCGAATACACTCTACCTAAATTCATTAAGAAAATGAGAGACGAGGGAGTTCTTATAGTTACTAATTATGGCTTCCTTCCCACCGAGTTAACAAACCTCAGGATTCTCGAGTCTTCATGGACACTCAAAAGAATCAGATTGCAGCGGGTTTCAGGTCCTTACCTTTGCAAATTGAAGAGCGTGTGCAAGTTATCACTTTATATGTGTGAAGTGAAAAAGGCTTTTGAAAACAGTTCCGTTGAATTCTCAAATGCAATGCCTAATCTGGTGGACTTGAACATTGAATATTGTGACGATTTGGTGAAGTTGCCAACTGGGCTCTGTGACACTGCCACCCTGAAGAAGCTCAGCATCAGTCATTGCCACAAGTTTACTGAACTTCCACGAGAAATTGGGAAGCTTGAGAATTTGGAATTACTGAGGATTAGTTATTGTGCTGATTTTGAAAAATTGCCAGAGTCAACCACCAAGCTGAAGAATCTAAGGTTTCTGGACATCTCATTCTGTGTATCCCTTAAAAAATTACCAGACAAGATTGGTGAGCTGCAGAATCTAACAAAGCTTTATATGACGGGTTGTCCAATCCATGAATTGCCGGACTCAGTCCTGGATTTGAAGAATTTAGAGAGCGTGATATGCGATCAGTACGCATTTCACTTGTGGGAAGTTATCGCATCTTGCTGTTCCAGATTAAACATAAAGATGTCTGACATGGATGTTAGCTTGAATTGGCTTCTTGAACTTGGCTCCCAGGGTTTCTTCATTTGAATTGACAAACCTCCCAGGTTGGTTTGGTTGGCTGTTTCCTTTATTCATAGTCGTTTGAATAAATGATTTCCACGGTGAATTTGTAGTCTGCAAAGCTACGAGATGTTTGTACACTGGAATGTATAAATGGTGTCATGCACGTTATTTTATGAGATATTTGTGTACACTGGAAGATATAATCTCCTTTTTCCCTTATAATCAAGAAATTTAGAGTATTTGAATTATATTTTAAAAAGAAGTATTAATTTTAACAGACACATAAAATTGACCACTGCTTTCAGTGTTTGTAATTAACAAGATAGGGCATTTCAGGGAGGAGGTATTACAACAGATGGCTAAGGCCTAAGACGATGGAATGAGACATGATATTTTACCCCCAAAGACAAAAAAAATCGAAGCATGCACATTGTTTTAAGCAAGACAGCGTTTTTATGTAAATTAGTCACTGTAGCATCATTGTGTTTTTAGATTATGTGTGTTTGTTTTCAAATACTTTGTGCAAATCAAGAAACAAGTTCCAGCGAGGTTACGTTTCACCAAGGAGACACTTGGGAAGAGCATTACCTTTCGCATTTGAGAATGACCTCTTCCTCCTCTTTGAAAGCAGGAAGTTATGAAACAGCTCTGTTAAACATGAACAGAGCAACCACAAAGAACAATTGCATGAGTGGAAAGCTCTGCTGTCACTCGAGCTGCAAAAATTTATCTTGGCTCGAACTCTTGGGACTACAAGTAGACATCCTTATCCTAACAAGTAACAACTCATAATTTTCTATGTATAAAAAGTTTAATTTAGCTTTTGCGCTTTTGAAATAAATTATACTTGTTCAAGTGTTGTGCACATTTTTCGCTCCAGGAATGAGCCTCCCTTGTTGCACGAATTGTTGAAGGCGTGTTGATAAAGTTGGAGCATATATACCAAAGTGAATCACTACTAAGACTAATGGGCAATAACTCCCAAGATGATTGATTTACTGGAATTTAGGGTATGAGCAGCATTGATAAGACGACTTTTCCAAAAGCACAAGTTAATAGTCTTCTGTATTTCAAGATTTTTTGCTCCTTGGCCATTGATGTAAGCCAAGGATCAGAGAAACATGGAAAGCATCTAAAGAATACACTTGGCTCACTATTTTTTTTTTTTTTGGGTTTCGCTTTGATATTCTAGGTCTTTGACCTAAACTAATGTAGTTGATATTTTGTAGGCACTTTTTTGAAAGGTATACCTTCCATTAAGAATTTAATTGTTGCTTCATGTTCAGAATTCAAACTTGAGACCTCTATGTAAGTTGGATTAACCGCAACAAGCAATCCAAATGCTCAGTGGTGCTTAGCTCTATGTTACTAGAAGAAAAAGAACCATACATGTCCATGGACATACCTAATGGAGGATCTGTTTGTATTTGAAAGAGGTTAGGCCAAAAAAAAAAAAAAGACTTGTCATTCTTGACAAGGGTGCTCCTATTAATCCCCACTCCCTTCACCCCTGATTTTTGATGATGTTAATGATGCACAACAATTAAAGAGTTTTGCTGGAGCTTCATCATTGGTTGGTACATGTAGTAGAATAATCATAATAAGCAAGTTCTGGGTAAAAATGTAGATGCTACCCATAAGATTGAGAACCCAAAGTCCTAAACTGCAATTTGCAATATCTTAATCCTAAAATAAAATTGCTAAATGCACGTGGCTATATATTCATGAATAATTGGACTAAGGGGTAGACAAAGATGTAATGAATATTTAAGGGGAATAGTATCTATACATGATTTAATGACTAAATTAAAAGGCGAGCACTTTTGGGGACTAGGGTACTTGAGCTCTAAAGAGGTCAATTCGGAATCTTGTAGTAAAAAACAATGAAGAGGATTAATGAGTTTCACATGTTGTGTCTTTTGACTTTGCAATGAGATTAAATCACACTCCTGATTTCTTCAATTCCATTTATGTCTTGCACATGCTAATTGAACGAATGTAAGCATAACATCAAACACACGACATAAAATAGTTGTTCAAGAATTTCATTTCAAATTTAGTATAAATTAATAGCATATTCTCCTTTCTTTTATCAAATTGATTATTGTAATTTAATAAGAAGTTTTTTTGTGACCAAGAATTTTTTATTTTTTTTAAATAGTTGTAGTTGTTGCAGATTAATGTCACGTGATTAAACTATTAAACATTCTCTCTCCTCCGTTTCTCTATATATATATATGTGATATACCCTTATCTATCAACGGTCAATATAATTGTCATTAAGCATGGAGTTCAATTCCACGTTAGTGAAAGCTGTCGATATCACTTGTGTGTTGGGCAATTTTCTCATTTAATACTGGTCTTATGATACTCTATAATTTTAGACATTTTAAATGAATAAATTGTCAATTTATTTTGGAATTGACATCAATTGTATTTACTGTTTATCAAGTGCCATGTGGATTTTAATAATTGGAAAAATAGCAATCAAGGATCACTAGAGCAAATGTATATTAATCAAAGGTCGCTTATTATCAAAATTTAAATGGATATTTGTTGATTCAAATCCTAAAAGGCTCATTTTTATCAAAATAAAATTCCTTTTGTAAAGATTTTTTATCAATTTAACAATTACATGAATGACGTTAATTTCATAAGGTTCATTTGAAAATATTGAAGATAATGTAGATCTTTGATTTTCCTCATCTCTTTGGTAGGTTGGTCTAGGATATTGGAAGAAGCATCCGAACTTTGTAGGTGTATGGTTGAGTATGGACTGGGGTTTTGAAGTGATTGAGTGCCTAAGTAATTCTGAAGGCACAATTCTAAAGTCACTAATTATTGTTTTGCTCTAAAAGAAGTTTCTCTAAAAGAATTTCTCCTGAACGTTAATCCTACGAATCCCGTAGGCATTTGCTTAATATTCCCAATATCATGAGTTGGTTGGGTTAAGGCAAAGATTGCATTTTCCATAAACCATTCACTAGGCAAGTTAACATCATGCCACTGAATGACTTTAAGAAGGATAATGTTTGCTTTGGCTCTATCGGTTAAAAATACAATGGTATAATCATCTTCCTTTAGTATTAAAACTCTAGAACTTGAAGAGTTCATGACTTTGTATTGAATTCTATAGAGTAAGGCTGCAAGAAAGATCTTGGTTTCATACGAAAGCCATGTAGTTTTACGTTTAATTTTAAAACATCTATAATATTTTCATCCACAAGGCTAACTATTATGTTTGGGTAATTGTTAAAGTAGATTGGCCCTGTATGCAGGCTGACTTTATAGTACCTAATAATGAGTCATAAAATAACTCATGTTGAATATCCTTAAGACAAAGAAGACAAGAGATGTCTAATCCTTCTCTAAGTAGAGGTTTAATAGCAACTTAAACACATCTAATTTACAAAAATTTATAATTCTTACGGTGGTTTTTAATGGATTCACCAGATAGAAGAAAAAAAAATATTTTCAAAAAATTTGATAAAATAATAAAATTTGGTGAAGAATTTTCCTTTAGGTTTATAGAGGGCATTTTTTATCAACTTCTAGAATTTTTCAATTGTCAATTTCTTGATTAATTTTCTAAAAGTGAATTTCTTCCTTAAAAATGTTGTTAGAAGAGGAGGATCCTCTTTTATGGAAGGAGGATGAGCCAGAGATAGAAGTTTGATAGGAGATCTCCTCTTTTCATATATCATTACCTCCAAGTTTCATAGAAATATAAGGAAGAATATCAATCAAGAGTTAAGAATCAAATCAAATGTCAAGATATTAACATTTTAGTACTTAGTCCTAGCCACCAATTTAAAATGATTAATATACACAAAATAGTCATGCATGCAAGTTTCTACCGAAGTATGAACTTATACTCTATTCATCTGGGTTTTACTTCCATAACCTCACAATAATCATGGAAATTTTATCTATATTTATCACAAAATTACTTAAAAGTGATACGTGTTATCAAACTAAGAAGAACATGATATTAATACATTGATATAAAATTTGATATAATAACTATTGACTTACATTCTATCAATACATTCTTACTTCTCCTTTTGGCTCAAATATCAAATTGGAGAATTAAACTAGAAGGGAAAGTATTTATCGAGTTTTAACAACTCCTCATTTTAAATTTAAAATAGTCTATTCAAGCTTGTTTTTTTTTAAATTTTGATAATAATTTATCTTTAATTGATATAAATTTGATTCAGTGATCCTTGATTACCATTTTTTCTTAATAATATATAGAACTTCTTGTTATATACTCCCACCATCTTATATAAAGGGTGTTTTTATAAGCTTAGCTTATTTTGTTTTTAAACATAAGAAATGTCATGATAATTTTGAGTAATTGAATAATTTTATTCTTATTGTCTTGAAAATAAAAAAATATATTAATGGTGAATTTATCCAACATTATAATATTAATTGTGATATTACTATTGACAAAATTAGAAAATTGTTATATTTTTATGTATTTTTAAATAAATAAATTTTTTTATCAGAGTATATAGTTTAATTAAAATATTTTATATATAAAGATGGGGAGAATATTTTATGTCATGTAAACCATTTAATATGAATTTTAAATATTTTTTAAAACAAATAGATTTAATAGTTAATGATAATAAATTAGTAGTAGGATGTGACTCTTTTTTTTTTTGGCCTAATAGTAGGATGTGATTTAGATTTTTAATATTAATATCTGATGATGATCATTAGATGAAAGTGGCGGTGGTTTTCGCGTTCGTGTGTGTGTGTGTGTCCTTTTTTTTTTTTTGGTGTTTTTTTTTTTTTGGTGGGGGAGTGGGGGGTTGGGGACGCTGACATACTAGCAAGTAGCAAGTAGACAGGCGCGTGGGAGTGAGGAAGCAGGAGGATTAGCGCCGACAGTTGACAGATAAGCATGAGACAATAAATGGTACTCGCTCGGTTTTTATATAAGGTGTTTTTTAAAAAAATAAAAAAAAAAAAATATGAAATATGAAATAATATTCTATTTTTATCTTTGTAGTCTTAATGATATTTGAGGCATGTTAAAGCATATAATGAACTTGCATAAACAATAAAATATCTCATTTTTTGTAATATAATATTTATTATATTCTTGTAAATAATAAAGATAACTGAAAATTGAACTTTTTTAATAAATAAAGCGATATTAATTTTTTAAATATGTGTGAAAAATATCTCAGTTACTTTATACTCCTGAATTTTAATACAAGGCTTTTAAAAAGATCGATCCTTAATATATAATAATTTAAGGACTTTTATACAAATAGCCTATATTATAAAATAAATAAAAGAAATAGATTATCCTTTCTTAAATTTTAAAAATAGCCTTTTTAATATTTATATTATAATTAATTTATAAAGCTATTTTTTTAATATTTGTTTTTTCAAATGCCAAAAAATTCAAAACACAAGAGATCTCTGAACAAGAGAGACAAAAGTGAGAGAGAAGACAAAACTCGACTAAGAGAGACGAACTAGAGATAATAGAACAGTGTGAGTGAGCTCAATCATGACGATAAGAACAAATACGAGGTGAGATACATCAACGGTACTCAAGAATAGAGCACTCGAACAAGGAAATGGAGCTACAAATTTATAATTTTTTATTTTATAAGTTTAGATATTTGATTCTCTATGATAAGTTAAGAGTCCAAATTTTTTTTTTGTAGACCATGTTTAATCTATTTTAGGCAAATGATTATGTGTTTTTTATATTATTGATGTGATTGTATATCAATTATAAATAAGTTTATATCTGATTGTCTGGCTATATTAATCTATATAGTATATCAATGATATATATATTATGTCACTGATATACTATTAAAGATCAACATAACTAGACAATAATATATTACTGATATATAAGTCATATTAGCAAAAGCTTACAATTTATTTATCATTGATATACAGCCATATATCAATTATGCAGTATCGCATATCAGTAATGAAGTTTTCTCTTCAATGTCTAATATCCTCTTTGAAATATATGAAAAAAACAGAGAGGGAAGCGAGGAAAAACTCTGCGATGAAGATAGATAACCAAGCAAATTAGGTCAAAAATTTTGATAAAGAAAAATACTACACAGAGATGAATATGATGATTTAAAAAAATCAGATCAAAAAATTTGATGAAAAAAATATTTAGAGATAATAAATCAGAGAGAGAGCATGCACAATGTAATTTTTTATGATAAAAATAAAAGATCCAGTCAGTTAAATATTAGTTAAACAATATATATTTTTTTTAATAATAAATTTATTTTGAGGATAAAAAGAAAAAAAACACATCTAATTAATTTTATAGATGGATTATATTTCAAAATATTCAAAAATATTATCCATAATTTATAAGAGTTATATTTTTTGATGCTATTGAGCTAATTTTCTCTAAATTTAAAGTGATTATTTTTTTCTCAAAAAAATAGTAATTAATATTTTTCAATTTCATTCTTTACTTATTTATTATGAATTAAATTTATAGACAATATTTTATTATGATTATTAATTATAAAAACAGAGTAAAATTGAAAATTTTATATATTTTAAAACAATTTTAAGAATGTAACTACTCTATTTAATTAAATGTAAAAAAATGGTGAGAATAGCAAACATTAAATTTATTAGTTCACCTTATATTAAAAAGTAGAAGTATAAGAAAATGGAGGGATATTAAATAATAAAATGAACAGATAAAAGAAAAGAAACACGGAATTTAAAGCGGGCATGCAAAAAAGGCTCCCGAGCACTTCACTTAGCATCGTGCAATGCACTTCCACTTCTATTGACGACTGACTCCTCCCGCTCCTGCCCATATGCCAATTGCCAGCTTGCCATCCATTTCTCTATCCACGTGGATGTCCTCCTCATTCTATCCCCATTCCTCATCATTCTCAACCTTTTTCTTTTATATTCCAAAAATATTATATATATATATATATATATATAAACTGCATGTAACCTTTTTTATTTTTTCCCCTTGAAAGCGAAGTCCTCGAGTTTTTTTTTTTTAATTAAATCTCAATGAGAGGATTTGAACCTAATACCCCTCATACTTGTGAGTTTTGAAATAGCTGTAAGCTATTGAACCTTTTGAAAATTCTAATTCATTGTGTGCTAGTTTATCAAAACTAACAAAGTAAAAAATAAATAATTTAATAAAATATTTCAAAGATATTCTATTAATAATATTTTTAGCTTTAGTCATTCTTACATTATGACTTAACAGCTGGCTTGGTTTGCACTTGATATCTGTACTTTAAGAAAAAGAAACCAAGTTTTCTATTGCAAGGTGACATCCAAACACCAACATACAGCTTGTTCATTATTTTATAATAAAAGAGGATTTGAGGCTATTCTTCCATTATCATTTCAATTCCATTTGCCTAAGCACATGGGATTTTTTTTTTCAAAAAATAAAAAAAAGGAGGGAGAACATTTTTATTATTGCTACAAGTTGTTTTTATGTGTTTATTAAACAAAATTGTCGATTTTGGAATTGACTTTATTTTGTCCAAGTCCAGCTTGATTAATTCCTTGTAATATGCCCGTTTGAAATATTATGTAATTGTTAGTTAGTCCGTCAAATCATCACATTTTGGCAACTAAAAGGAATCAAACTCATCCATAACAATGATCAAACAAACCAACATATTTATCCTCTAACTCTTTCTTCATTTCAGTCCCTGCAAAAAGGAAAAAAGAAAAAAAAAATCCTTTCTTCTATATGAGTTTTTTGAATAAATATTTATGCCTAACGCTTAATGGCTAAATCACTGATGTTAACATTGAACGTGGAGATGATGGATGGTTTGAAAAGATTATTAATGTCTAATGAGACAAATCAAAGGGGTTACTTAAAAAAATTATAATTTAAATATTAGAGGAAAATAATTTATCCCAAGAAGTGGACAAAAGCTTAAGACATAAAATACAAAACTAACTTAAAAAATTATACATTACAACTGTATCCTACTACAATTCAGCAATCTCGGTTGAATTTACAGACAATTATGATTTAAGTATCACCAAATAAAGAAAAAACAAATAAAAAGCATCACTTCAAAACCAGAAAATAAAAGAAAAATAAATGAAAAGTAAAAATAATCATAACATCACACACCTCTGAGCAATTTCTGTGTACTATTCTTCTTTCTTACCCAAGGGTCCATTTCCAGATCTTGAATCTGACATCAACTTTGCACTTGGCGTTCGAAGTCGACGCCGTCGCCGGCTTCTTGCCGGACGGAAGACTAACCCTGATTCCATCGCAAGACACTCTGATTCCGACTTTGGGCGTCTTCAAGCTCCCCATCTTGGCCGTCACCTTCGTCTTCAAATTCACCTCTAATGGCAAACCACTCTTGCTCCTCATCCTCGCCTTCAATTTTCCGGCACCCTCGTCGTCCACTGTCTGCTTACTGCTCGAAACCGTAGCCTTCAACACCGTGGTGTTCTTCTTCCCGTGCTCGAAAGAGGGGATCGTGCCGTCGCCGATATCAACGCCGTCAGAGAGAATCGAAATCGAGGTCGGCTGGTAGATGAAGGCGATGTTCTTGTTAGGATTTCTGGCGGTGACGCTGATGTCCAATTTAGAGTCCAGAGTAGAGGACGATGAAGTGAGGTTAAGGTAGGAGAGTTTGAGGGAAGTGACAGTGAAGGAAGGGCGGTGTGGGCGATAGATTAAGTAGAAAATAACTCCGGCGACGCCGATGATGAGGAGCAGGACAAGGAGGGTGAGGAGGAACCAGTAGAGGAATCTGCAGCAGCATCTGCAGCGGCTACGGCGGTGGTGGGGCTGGGGACGGTAGGTAGGTCTGGTGGCACCGTAGAGTTGAGCTTTGGTGGCAGGAAATGAAGGATTAGCGGCACCGCCGTTGGTAGTGACGGTGCCGTTAGAAGCAGGCTTGGCGGAAGGATAGATCCTTTCGGCCATGGAAGTAGTGTAGGAGGAAGAAGAAGAGGAGAGGAAGAGAGAGAGGACTGAGAGAAAGTAGAGAGGAGAATTAAAGAGAAAGGTGCTTGTTATCCTTCTAAATTATGAGAGATGGACATTAAAAGGTCCATGAACGGAGCAAAAGTTGATTGGTTTTGTGTTTATTATCATCTTTTATTAACAAAAACATAACAAATATCAAATTATTACATTAAAAGAAAAAAATATGAATAATATGATAGGATTAAGTATAAAAAATAAAATTAGTCATTAAATTGATTAAAATATTAATTGAAAAATTAATAATTAACTATAAATAAACTGTAATCAAATTATTTATAAATGAAATATTTTATTAAATTAATTAAAACTCTGATTTAATGGTTTTTTGATTGACTCAAGCGAGTTGAATCGTGTTTATATAGTATGGGCGTCATTTATAATTTACATTTCAAGGAGAAAAATGAGAATAGTGAGGTGGGGAGGATGGGAACGTTCCAACGAGAGACAAGAGCTGTGTCCAGCTCGGCACTCGGCAGCGAGCGCGTACTGAAGCCATAACAACCTCATCGTCTCATTGATTATTCCTCCGCATCTCTCATCACGAAATTAAGCAGAAATGATCAAATCATTACTTTTATCTGAAACAAATAACTTTTAATTTTATTTATATTTAAATAAAAAATATTTTAAATTTGCGTTACATTTTTTTCATAGCTTATAAATTTAAATAGGAGTAAAATTAAAAATTCTATTTAATACCCTACTAAATACGTTGTATTAAAGATCACAAATTTCTTTTAAAAAGAATATTATAATAAAAACTAAAGAGAATATTCTTAAATAATATTGCTATTTTAGTATTTTTTTTACCCAATTGACTTTTCATGACCTTTACAAATATATACATATAAATATGATTCAAGTGATCCTTGAGAAGTTTGCATTTGAAGTATTTGATTTGGCAAAACGAAAAAAAAAAAACTTTTTGAACTATTTGAGTGGTATTATATATAATCCATGAATAATACTTTACAACTTACGTGCTTCGTACTCCCTCAGTTTTTTAATATAAAAGAAACTATTGTATATCTCTTTATTTTTATTTATAAGTAAAATTATAAATTTTAAAAAGCATTTGTTATATATTTTTCAAATTATTTCTCATAAAATAAATATTTATTTTTACCAAACAAATTTTTGTCATTGATTACAAGATAAGTCAGTCAAATTTCTTTTGCCCTTGAACCAACTTCTACATTCATATTCACTCGCACTACCACAATATAAGTCATTTTAGACATTGGGTAGGTGTTAATTCACATACTTACATACATATATATTCTCAGTCACATTCTTATTTTATTGAGTAAATTAATGAGGTTATTTTATATAAGTCAAATATTATATTAATCACACTCAAAAGCGTAATTAGAAAGATATGGAATTTTTTTTTAAAAATCTATATTTTAACCAATTTTTTTAAAAATGTAAATTAATTCAAAATTATTTATATTATGATGTGGAGGGAACATATAACACCAGTCATTGCGTCAACTTTGTTAATAATGTTGGTAACAGCATATCAAGCTTACATTTGTTATTAGTATAAACTGCTTTGAAGGGCTCATTTGTGCGTATAATTGACATTTTTCTGCCCAGTTTGTTCACACTATTTCTCTCATTAACTGTCCTTTCATATTTTGAAAGATCCAAGAACTAGAGAGCGAGGTCCCAGCTCATGTACGGATTTCGAAATGAATGCTGCTCCTCCATATGTATTGTATTGAAATTTAAGTCAATTTAATTAGCTGGCTATATCGTTGAGCTAGCTTCATCATCTATTTAATGAAATATTTTCTTTATGATTTATCTAATTATGATTTGATTATAATTTGGTCATTAATTCTTAACCAATATCTTAACTACTATGATTTTCAATAACTTATTCCGATGTGAGTTTCTTTAACTAACTTAAAAAAAAATAAATAAATTGATCACTTGTAAGTTTGTTTGTTTGTTTGTTTTTTAAACTCTAGTTTATTAAACTATGAATTGCATATAGAAGTTGGAAACGAAAAAGAAGAGTTGAAACTGGCCAAAAAAAAAACACAAAAGAAAAATTGTGACGCTAGCTCAACGATAGAGCCAGGTAATTGAATTGACTTAAAAGAAAAAGAAGGGAACGCGTATAAAAGGAGAGTGGTGGTGAGGTTTTGGAGCTTGAGAAATTGTGACGTGGGAATTCAGATGCTCCACCAGTCCACTTCTCCTGTTTTGGACTCTCTCTCTCTCTCTATATATATATCTAATATATATATATATATATATATATATATAAAAACGTGAGGGAAACGGAGCAGACCACGTTTAATAGTCATGAGACCGACTTCGTTCTTTTGAGAAATAACAAAAGTTGTTCCTAAGTTCCTACCAAAACGTCCAAAATTATGTCCCCAAGTCATCAACTTTTTTTCCATTCCATTATTAATCTTCTTCTTACCATCTTATTTTTTTAAAAAAAAAAATGTCTATAAAGAATTAATGGCATGGTAATTTGTTGGTTTTTAAGATTTTCAAATCTTGACTTCATGAAATTAAGAACTCCTTTGTTATAAATTATGAAATACTTTTAAATAATATCAATAAAACTTATTAAATGTACTTTATAATTTTAATTTTTTAAGATAAAAATATAAATTTTTAAAAATATTCTTCATTTAATACTTCATTAATGAAAGAATATTGAAAAGAAAGAGTAGATGAGAAATATAATGTTAAAAAAATCATTAATTTGAGATGGAGGGAGTATCATTTAAGTCAAGTTAATATATTTTTAGACGGCACGTGCTATCAAGGGTAAAAAATCAAAACTTGTCATGTTTTAGTAAGATTAAAGGAAAAACTATTTAAAAAAAAAAAAAAACACACATACACACGGAATAGTTATAAATGCCCCCCATTTAGTAGTAAATGACAACCACTGGCAAGTTGTTTTGGCAGCAACACCACCTCCCTCCGAGTGTAAGGTTCAAGTTTTGAACCTCACTTTGACATATGAATGTGTGAGCTGTGTGTTTAATTGATTCGTTTCAAAAAAAAAAAGGAAGTAATAACGGGTACAAATTTTAAATTTAAATTATATAGCCGACACATATATAAACCTCTTATTACAAACTGAGCTTATTCGCTACTTTTAGTTAAGGAAACACTTACTCTACTCCAAGACAACTCATATTAGCAGTTACCGACTGTAATTGACTTCGCTCATTGATAATGAGCCAAAAACCAAACCCAACAAAACAAAACAAAGTTATAGTATTACTTTACAACTAAGCAATACAATTTCTATTTTTTTTTCAGTAGAAAGCAATGCAATAATTTTGAACACGTCAAGCTTTCTCGTTGTTCTTCAATCATATTATTATCTGCGTCAACAAAAAATTTTTGTTCATTTCCTCTGTTACTTATTCTTTCAATTTATTTATTATTCCTGGTTATGTAATTTAACCATTTACAAAAGTCCGAACACGCAAATACAACGTGGAGTTCTTATTCAAATAAATTATATAAAGTTTATTGAAAAAGTATAATATTTTTTTAATTTTAAAACAAAGATCCATTTTTACTACCCAAACTTGCAATTTCTACAATTTTTCACACCGAGAAAATTACTATTTGGAATTATTAATTTTCTAATTAATTCTTGAAATGTCATTCTCCACTCATAATGTGACATAAATTTAAAGGTGTCTGAGGAAATAAAGTAGTCAAGCAGTACTTTGGAAAAAAAAAAAAAGCCATGTTCCGGTGGTCCGGAAAGTCTCATCATTGTTCAATCCAAGCTCACGGCACTTGCTTCCGGGACCAAATCTCTAACTCAAAGTAAATATTTTAAATATATATATATACTTCTCCAATTCTTAGTATAAAATATTTTTATCATTTTACACATATTAAAAAAAATTAATTTATTTTTGATGTTATAAAAAGATAAAAGTATTTCATTTTTATCTTTAATTTAAAATAATAAAATAATTACATTAACTACATTCATGCTAATCAAGATGGGATAAAATTAAAAAAAAATTTAATTTTATAATTATTTTTAAAATATATATTATAAATAAGATCGGAAGGATATATATATAAATTACTTGTGCTTTAATTTAATTTATTTGATTTTTTTGTGTGCACATCGCGTCTTTTTATTAAAAATAATTATATTTAAGATATGATAGAATATTAAATGTGAACACTTTTTATAGCCAATATTCAAATCTTGACTCATTAAATTATGATGAACTAGCCTCTTCTTATGCTAGATTTAATCCTTATTAGTATCTTATCCGTTTTTTCAATATGGTTACTTGGTTGTATCAAATTCAAGTATTATCACATTCAATTGAGAGTTTATCTTTCAAAAACATTTTTTACATTTAGATAAACTTGAATTAAGACCTTATGATTAAGCGACCATAACTTTTTACAGTTTCACCATGATAAAACTTGGCTGGTAATTTAATCTAGCTATTTAAATTAAATACATTTTGTAAATTTTTGAACGTATATAATCTTTAATAAAAAAAATTGTAAATGAAAGAACCTTGCATAGAAAATTAAAATCAAATTAAATTATAATACAATATTTTCATATAATTTGGACAAAAATATTATTTAATAAAATTTTCTCTTAGAAAAAAAATAAAAAGGAAAGAAAAGAAAAGCACAAGGTGAGTGATGTGAGGCAGTGAAGGGCAAGTTGCAGAATGCAATCACTGCCATATCAATATACCATAATAACATTTGAATCACACTCTTATTTATGAAATGAAAGTCAAGCTACCTGCAATTTTGATTTGATTCCTTACCTTCCCTTGCTTAATTTATCTTACATTAATTCATTATTAATGTGGTCTTCTTATATTCCCTCATTAAAAAAACGAGAAAAAACTTATGCAAGCTTGAGATCATCATTATATTTCTTATGTGAAGTTTATTTTAATTATTTCTGTGTGATACAATGAAAAATTAATAAATAAAATATAGTACTACAAAGTTTAATTAAATCTCAAGCCACTGTGATGATTGGAAATTAAGAGTTTAA